CTCCCCCCACCAACACCCCGCCCTTGGCAACCACCAATCTGCTTTCTGTCTACAGATTTGCATATTTTGGATAATACATATCAATAGAATCGTGTCATATATGATATTTTGTTTTTGCCTTCTTTCACTTAGCATAATATTTTAGAGGTTTCATTGATATAGCACATGTCAGTACTTCATTTCTTATTAAAATTTTATTGAGGTCTCACTAATTGACATATAAGATTATATTAGTTTAAGGTGTATAACAATGACATTTGTATATATTACAAAAGTATTTCATTTATTTTTATGGCTGGATAACATTCCCTGTGTGACTATGACATCTTACTTTATCCATCTATATGGTAATGGACACTTGGGTTGTTCCAACCATTTGAATTCTGGGTACATGTATTTGATTGACTGCCTGTTTCTAATTCTTTTGGGTGAATCCCCAAGATGTACATCCTTCTACATACACTTTGAGCTTTATCGTTTACTATTTTCAGACATGTAAGTTTTTTTTAAAAATTGTAAGAAAGTGTTGCAAAACACATACTAAGGCAAATAATAGCAGTATGATAGATCTGGACAAATGTTTTCTCATTTTCCAGATCTGGAGTCAACAGGAAAATGGCCACCTGGAATGAAAAGGTAAGTGGACTCTGGGACCTCCCAGCCTTGAGAAGATAATTCTGTTTGGTGTTTCTAACAGGATAGAGGGGAAACACCTATGAGTTCCAATGGTTTTTAACCAGAGAGAGGCAAATGGAAACAGCTCACACTTTCCTTCATTTATAGTTCACTATTAAATCAGGCAAACCAAAAAAGCAAGCGGAAATGCTTGGTGCTAGTTGTACTGTGGTGAATTCCTACACCTCTGGCTAATTCCTACACCTAGAGAGGGGCTAGGTCAGCCTACACAGCTGTTCAGGAAAAGAATTTTGACACTGTTATCAGGAATCATGAAAACGTTTATGATCAAACTTGTTCATCTCACTTACAGGAAAGGAAATAACCAGTAAAAAGGAAAAAGCATAATTGACAGCACCATATTTTTTAGTGCATAAGACATCATTGAGTGTAGACGCACTGTTATTTTATGTACCATGAAGAAGAAAAAACAATGCCGCCATTTACCGAGATAAAATGTGACACAGCGCTGACACTAGTCAAATGTAAAACACATGCAGATTTCGGAAATGTTAAAATGATAAAATGTGATCTTAAAATTAATAAAAGTGCTAAAAATGAGGAACAATCGGAAAATGCAATTGTGAGAGTATTGACTCTTTGGTAAGTTTCTTGGCCAAAGTCTGATGGGTCTATGTCTGATGCGTATAACTTAGTGGGAAAAATTGGATCCATAATTGTCTGCACTCTGATTATAACTGTAAAAGACATGGATTAGGCAGAGAGGTAGGCGGATGATGATAAGTTTGGTGTGTTGGGGTTATTATGAATTTATTTCCTTTTGTACATGTTTTTGCAATATCAATCCTGAAAGAATTTTACGTAGGGTGAAGGTCTGCTCATTGCAATAAATGACAGCAGGTAAAGCTGGGGAGGAGGTCCAGGTGAGTGGGGATGGGGATGTGGAGGGGTGGGATGGGTGTGAGGGCACAGACCCAGCAGAGGAAGCAGAGGGTTGGAATACAGAGCCAAGGATCTGCCTGGGGACTTCCTGGTGCAGGGAGCCTATGTCATCACAGAGAGGCCCATTTTGAGGGGCTGGTCCAGCGGCATTGCGGGGGACCTGGGGAAGACTGGGCCAGGACCACTTATAGCAAATAAGTCTGTTACTGATTCAAAGACCGAGTTCCTTTTAGAAATTTACCCTTAGGGAGTAAATTGTGTTTTTAAAACACTGTTTTAGTAGAATTGCTTTTAGGAGCTTTGTGATTGTTCAGCTCCCCAGCTGTTTGAGAGAAAAACAGCTGTGTCACAGGAGAAACCGGTGGGGGGTTTTAGCCGTGGTTCAGACCTGATTTGCTGTAACCAGCTCTGCTGAGAGGGGCTGAGCGGGCTGGGGACACCTGCCCTCCTCAGAGCGCCCCTCTGCCCCTGCGCCTTCCCACCCTCGGAGCCTCAGCTTTCCTCTTCTGCAAAACGAGAGCAATAGCCTCTGATAGAGTCGTGAGGATGAAACAAAATCGAGCTCGGAAAGCACTTGGCTGGAGGCTCGACTGCAGCCAACCCTTCAGCACAGGGCTGTGGGCGCAATCATGAGGATAAGCTGGCTTTGCAGCCCATCAGCTGACCTGGGCCCCATCTCAGATGATTTTGTGTCACCAGCCGCGTCTGGGGAACCTAGGAGCCAGGAGTGCTTAGAAAGCCTCATAGCCCTTTGGCTCATTTCTCACGAGGCCTCTGGAGGCCCCAGGTTTATTTGTGGTGCTGGTTCTCGACCTGGGCCGCTCATGGGAGATCCTGACACCCCAGGCCACCCCCAGACCAACTGAATCAAACTCAGGGCCTAGGACCCAGGCATCGGGGTTCTTTAGAGTTTCTAGGTGGTTTCTGTGTGCAGCCAGGGTGACAGCCACTGTACAAGAAAGAGGGGTGCCCTGAACTCTGTTTATTCTAGCCTTTCCACTGCTGAAGCATCACCAAGACATTGGGGGACAAGGGGTGTCTTGATGACTCATTCACACTGGGGACAGGTTTGAATTTCTAGCTGGATAACTGCGTTTTTTTCTGTGCTTTCGTTTTCTTTCGATGCTTTTGTAAACAAAAGGAGGGGGCTCTGGGCCAGGCAGCCTGGGTAGGATTTTGAGCTCTGGCTGTGTGACCTGGGGCATGTTGCTTGGCCTCTCTGTTCCCGGTTTCCTCACCTGTAAATGGAGATTCAGGCCCCTACTTCATGGAGTTTCTGCAGTATGTTATAAAGGGGGCCTTGCACAGAGCTCAGAAGTGGCAGGTGCTCTACTTACAATCACTACGGTTTGCACTACTATAGATACCGCTTCCCACATCATCTGCATCCAGCCTCATGGTCATTTTGGGTTGGCAGACTCTTATCAAGACAGGAGGGATTCTGACCCTGCAGGAAAAGGAGACGCTGGAGTGCTTGGCTCTGGGGGGTACCTGGGCCGCCAGTTGGGCCCCTCAGCCCATAAGCAGCCCCCATACCCCAAGCTAGTCAGCCATCACCACGGTGGCTGGTTTTGTGAACCTCAAACTTCCTCCCCACCCTAGAGAAGGAAAAACTGTTACACTTATTTAAGGACTTCCCTGATTTTAAAAATAGGCATTCCTCAGAACACAAATCCCCAGGGGCTAGGGTGGGGCGTGGCACTGGGGTCCCTGAGCTTATTGCTGGGAGTCTTCCAGCCAGGGATGCTGTCAACCCTCCAGGCATGCTTAGTGGGAAACTGCAGTCAGCCGGACACAGGATAGGGCACGAGCAGGAGCCCACCCGGTCTCTGTCCTGATGGGGGCGACAGACTCCAGCAGTGGCACACCCAGGTGGACCTGACTCCACAGGGGAGTAGTGTAGGGCCTCCAGTGACAGCAAGGGGGCGGGGCTGGGGTGAAGGGGTGGGGGAGGTAACTGCTCAGCTCCCTGCAGCAGGGATACTTGAGGGAGATCTCATGAAGGGGGAAAGAAAAGAAGGTAAATGACAAGGTGGAAGAGGGGTGGGAATTTCAGGCAGAGAAAAGTGTACAAAGGCCCTGTGGTTAAAGGAACCTGTCAAGTACAGGGGGCCGAGTGGAGACAGTCTGGCCAGAGCAGAGGGTGGCGAATGGTGAGGTCAGATAGGCAGAGGACACAGCATGCAGAATAGGCGTGGGCCTCTGCAAGGCACTTAGGTCTTTATTTTTAAGAGCAGCGGGAAGCCGAAGAAGAGCTTTAAGTAAGGGAGTGTGTCAGAGGTCTCCAAGATCACCCCAGATTCAGTGATTCGCTAGGAAGGCACATAGGACTCAGCATGCAGTTTGACTCATGGCTAAGATTTATTACAGCAAAAGGACACAAATTAAAATCAGCAAAGGGAAAAGGTACATGAGGTGACATCCAGAGGAAGCCAGGCTCCAGCTTCCAGAGGCTTCTCGCAGTGGAGTCACACAGGACACACTTAATTCCTCCAGCGGTAGGTTGTGACAATGCATGTGAAATGTTGGCAACTAGGAGAACTTGTTAGAGACTCAGGGCCCAAGATTTTCACTGGGGGCTGGGCACACAGGCACCTTCTGCCCAGTGCTTACAAGAATTCCAGACTCATGGAAGGAGAGCAGGTGTTTACCATAAAACGCTTTGTTTATACAGACAGTATAAGCACAGCGAGCTGTTCTCCATCAGGGCACGGAGGGAAGCCTCCCCAAATCCCAAGTTTCCGGGTACCAGCCAAGAGCCGTGCAGGCCTTCCTAAGGACAGCAGCCTCAGGCTTTTTCTGCACGGGGAGTGACATGGTTATGTCTCAAGAAGTGCTGTCTAGCTGCCTCTGAGAATGCAAGAGTGACGAGGAGAGCAGCAAGGAGCTGGGATGTCTTCTTTGTGAGAGGATGAGGCAGGGCCAGGGTGGTGGCAGAGGATGGGAGAAGTAGACATCGATTCCAGGGTCGTTTAGATGCTAAAATGCACTGGGCTTAGTGACGAGTGGGCCGCGGGGGAGAGAGGGAAGGCAGGGATTGGAGGCCACTTCTGATCTTGCCTGGGTGTGTCTTAGGACCCCCTGAACCAGAAGACAAGAGACCCAGGTGCACGTCCGTGAACTGTGCACTGACTAGTGGCGGTTGCCATGTTGCAGAACTTCAGTTTCCCCATCTGCTAAGCAGGAGGAGATTGCATCTCAGAACCTTGATTCCACCTCTTACAATATCATTATTCTTTCTGCTTTAAAAATCCAGCTTTTCTGCTATATTTCCCCCTAATTAGCCGGTAGACTTGAATTCATATATTGACTTTACCACTTATGGGGGTTTTTTTGTTTGTATTTTTAAAAAAATTCTACATGAACAGGTTCTCAGTATAAGAAATTAAAACAACAAACTAGACTAGTATATATCAGGTTGAATCACATGAAATTGTCCATTTCTACCAGTTTTGACCTACAAAAACAGTAATTTTTTAGTTTTTCACTTCAGTAAAGTTTTCTTGAGTTATATCTTAAACTATTCTGTTCCTTTGGTTTCCCTATTCAGAGATTCCAGTTATGTATGTATTGGGTATGTATGCCTATATATATTCATTCTCCTTCCTTCCCTCCCCCCAAATACTTCATTCACCCCTCAATTCTCTGCAGGATGGATCTTCCTCCCAAAATGACTATTTCTTGTGGTTAAACCCAATAGAAAAACATTTTGAAACTTTCTCGTCACCCTCCAAGTCCACTCCCTTCCCAGAGATAACCATTTGGTTTGGGTCGTTGATTTTTATCTGCTTTTAACCAAAGTGGAATTATATGGTATATTCCAGTCTGAAACATGCCGGTTTTTACTTACCTGTAGATCAAGGACACCTTTCTATGCGGGTGCCTGTGGGTACACGGGCTGACTGCATTCTTACCTTCTACGTGTAGTATTCTGCATCGTGGGTCTGCCATCGTGTATTTAACGATGGCCTCTGAGGTCATTTCCAGGTTTGGGCTGTTGTAGCAGGACTGCAGCGAGCATCTGTGTGCTCGTGTGAGTCACCTTGCCAGGTCACATG